ACAGTAGTCACCCATCAATTTTTGAAATGCTGAAGATGACAAATTATTCATTTAGTGTATATTCAAATGGAATAAGGGGTAAAATAAAGCCCTGTAGTAGTCGTCATGAAGAGATGGAATATTACTATTGTTATATGGTAGGCTTTCTTCATACTAGTCCACCTGATAAGAGCATAGCGACTCTTCTGGAATGACAATAAAGACATATCATATGTTCTTACATTCAACATGCATCATTTCCATGGGATGGGGAGGGGGTCCCCCAGCAGCCAGTCAATGAGCGCAGCACATGGCAGGCAAACCTAGAAGTGCCACCAGCAGAACTGGAAGTGCCGGCAGTGAAAATGGAAGTGCCAGCTGCCGCGTACCCCCTGGGGCCTTCCAAAGTGCCCCCAGTTAAAAACCCCTGCACTAGAGGATAGGCTGGCAATCCAAGCCAATCTGGACAGGTTCACAGTGTGGGCGGATCAAAACTTGATGGCATTCAACACGGAGAAATGGAAGGTGCTCCACCTTGAAAAAAAATCCACATCATACATATAGGTTTGGCAGTGCTACGCTCACTAGCACCATGACCAAAAGAGATTTAGGGGTCATGACTGACCACAAGATGAACATAAGCCACCAATTCAATGCCACAGCTGGAAAAGCAAACAAAACCCTGACTTGCATCTACCGATGCATCTCAAGCAAGGCCCAGGAAGTCATCCTCCTGCTTTACTTGACCTTGGTGAGGCTGCAGCTGGAATACTGCATCCAGGTCTGGGCTCTGCACTTTACAAAGGATGCAAAGTGATATAAAGATAGGTTAGCTTGATTAATTGAGTAAGTCATAAGAATAAGTACAAGTAGTTCAGAAGTTTATAAGTTCAAGTATTTTAATATCTGTCTAACAAATTGTTTAGTAAGCAGTTTGACCTATGCATGAATAACTAATGCTAAATATAATTTTAGGAAACATAAGTACTAATATAGAAAGAAAACAATTCCAGAGTCAGCTTGACCCAACTGGAAAGAGGAAGACGCCAAGGTCAGCTTGACCCAACTGGAAAGAGGAAAATGCCCTTGTGATGATTCCCATCAAAAGAGATAATTATAACTAACAGAAAAAATTATGTTATGACTAATCTCATTGTGCGCACAACTAAGCATACGTAGAAGGAACCATATAAATATGGAAGTTAAAAATTCCTCTGAGTAGCTCTCGGTCCTTAAGACAGGAGTCTACCCTTCTGCAGAAGCAATAAATTTTCTACTGGCACTCCTGTGTCTCTTGACTTATATATATTAACACGGCTAGTGACCACGACGCAAGACCAAGCTGTCCTTTCCTGTTTGGGCAGCTAACTCAGGTTTTGCTGACAATTTTGGCAACCCAGATGGGACCCTAGCTCTCCGGGCCTGAGCCACCATCCCCTGCAGCAACACCCAGCCAGCTATGGGGTAAGTTTGCCCTAAGGGTCTTGAAGGCGGGTTGATGGCTCTGGCATGGAGGCAAGGTGAATTGGGTCCGAGTAAGTAGGAGTGTCAGTCCGGAACCCTGAATACAGTGTTTCTCAGGAAATAATTGGCATGATGCTGACGCTCATTATGAAATATTTGATATTGAGTATTTATATGTGTTTATTTGGTTTTGTCTGTGTGTTATAGGCCTGTCTCTTTCTCTCGGTTCCTCACCCTGGTGACAGAGGTAATCCTAGTGGGTTGTCTGTCCGACCCTTTTGGGCTGGGAAAGCTGTGTGGCGCAGTTTATGTCTCTGTTCGTGTACTGAGGAACTGATTCCTATCTCTGTTCTCTCTCTGATAAGTCCCCTTTCCTGTTTGGGGCACTGGTTAAGTCTGATTTAAAAGTCGACTCTGGTATTCTGGTTTGAAAGAATAAGGGGTACCCCGCCGAGGGAGACAACATGGGACAAACAGGATCTGTCCCTGTCCCTCTAGAAAGTCCCCTCGGAACTGTTCTGTCAGATTGGGCTGAAATCCCGGGAACTAATCAGGTTAAGAAGTCTAAATTAATCCAATTGTGCACAACTGCTTGACCTCAATATACTTATCAGGATCCAAGCTGACAGTGGCCTAATCTTGGTTCTTTTAACTGAGAAACCCTGAGGTACCTCAAAGGATCTCTAGAAGATCCTCAACCCCGTCAGATAAATTACTAGTATTTCTGAACCAATGCTGCAAGCGTAATAAAAAAAGGTTGCTTGAGCTCCTCTAAAAAAAAAAAAAAAATCCAACATCTGGCCCCACTCCAGGTTAATCCTAAAAGGCCCTCTGAAACTCTGCCACCTCCATATGCTCCAACTGTCCCTAGGTCAGAGAAAAACGAGTGGCGTCCAGCAGGACTGCCACCACTCCCGGCACCAGTCACACTCCCAACCCCCGCATCCACCGCTTCAAGCGAACGTTCCTCCGACAACGAAAGCACTACGATTAGACATGGTGGAAATTTTGACCCAAATAGCCATACTAACCAAACAGTGGTCAATTTCACCTTTGTCGACCAGGCAACTGAGGATATAAGAAAATATATTACTTAGCATCACCCTGATTGAAATACCAAGACGCTCCCTCAGTTAGTTGACCTAGCTACTTATGTTTCTGACTGACGTCCTGAAGTCCAGAGACAAGAGAAATTGAAGTTTAAGCAAAAAAAAAAAAAAAAGTAAACATGTTAGCTGCCGCCCTCACCCAACACTTTCAAGCTGCGCCTCGCCACAACTATGGCCAAGGCCGAGGGAGAGGACGAGGACAAGGAGGATTCCACCCCAAATCACCCCAAATATTTAATCCATCAGCAGAGCCGCAGCCAAATGACACCTGTAATTATTGCAGGCAGAGAGGACATTAGAAGAAAGATTGCCCGGTTTGTCCGTGGGGGGCCCCCCACACCATTTCCAACTCCACGTTTGGCTGCTGCACCGCCTGAAATTGACCATCACCAGCAACTTCTAGATTTACTTGAGTCTGATGAGTAACTAAGGGGAGGGGGGGAGAGAAAGGCTTTTCCACGAAATAAATTGCAAAAATTCGAACGTAACCACATATAAAATTAGGTGTCCTTTTTCTAAACCGTATGTTAACATAAAGGTACAAGGCCAGGTGTATAAATGTTTGGTCAACACCGGCGCAGGTCTTTCTTCACTGGGTGTTTCCCCAAGGCAGGCTAATTTACCAATAAGAGGGGTTTGCCCTACTCCTCCTCTTCCTCCTCCTCACTGGTTCCCTGTCAGGAAGTATGGCTAATCCTAGGAAAACAAGCTATAATAACCCGGAGATAATTTGTAATGGATGTACTTCAGCACTATCACAGAGGGGATACGACTGGGCTGCCCGCCAAGACAGAGCATGGGGTCCTCCGAGTCTCTCTCCTGCTGCTGCTGTTGCTGCTGCTGCTGAGACCTCCTCTGACCATACTGGGCCGGTGTCTCTGCATCATAAGCCTGCTGGCTCAGCTGCTGCTAGTAGTGTGCCTCCTGGTAATGAGCCGGGCCCAGCCCCACAAGCTGTCCACCTGACCCTGCGCCAAGCGGGAAATGATTTCTCCCGCTGCTACCAGAGTGACATTGCCCAAATGTCTGGCCAGCTGCACTTGACCCCCTTCTCAGCCAGGGGGCGTTTTATGGCAGTAGTAGAGGAGCTGTTCCGAGACGGAGTGAACTGGGGAAGAATTGTAGCCTTGAGTTCGGTGGCGTGATGTGTGTGTGGAGAGTGTCAACCGGGAGATGTCGCCCCTCGTGGACAACATTGCAACATGGATGACAGAGTACCTGAACAGGCACCTCCAGAACTGGATCCAGGACAACGGAGGCTGGGACGCCTTTGTGGAATTGTATAGTAACAACATGAGACCGTTGATTGACTTCTCCTGGATCTCTTGGAAAACTCTCTCAAGTCTGGTTCTGGTGGGAGCTTGCATCACTTTCGGCGCTTATCTAGGACATAAGTGAAATTAACCGGTTCATCATGAATTCCAAAAGTCTTACAACAGTAAAATAATACGACTTTTGTTTTCTGTGTAAGGGGGGGG